GTCTAAATAAAGGACCAATGCTTTTTAGTTCAAAGTTTAGGTTTTGTTCTCTGTTGTACTTGTGTCCTTGAAGTTAAGAATGTTCATGTAATCTTTACCTCTTCTACGTGTTCATCTTACCACGCTCAAATCTTTTTGTTTCGTCTTGCTCTTTTTAATCATATAATCTAAGAAACTAAGTGCCATAAAGCATCACTAAGACACTATCCTTTGAACCCTTACACTGTTATGTTTTGTTGATGTACCACAGTGCAAGCCTCCAAGTGTAGAACCTAGCGACCAATTTCTTTTGCATGTTACCGAACCCTTTTTTTTTTTTTCTTACATAGTGATAATCAAACTGTTACTTTGTGACCAATATTTTCACATATACTGAATTCTTCTTAACTTTGTTAAAAGTTTTCCTTCTTCTAAGAATTAGGCAGGGATGGGGATCCCCACAGGGTTTCTGTTCTCTTTTGGCAAAGGGATGGGAATATGGGGAAGAATTCCCCACATTCCCAGGATGGCAACCAAGGTTGGTAAGGATGGGCCAGGATAACCCTCCCCGCCCCTGCCCCCAACCCATCACCATTCCTAGGGCCAAACCCCCACTCTTTGGTACAATTCAGAATGCAGTGACATAATATGCACTGATATGTACCAAAGCATTTGGATTTAGAAAATAAGATCAAAGAATGAAGGAAGCCACTCATCTAGAGAAACATCTTATGCACAGCTTTGTGAAATAGAATCTCTGGATCAGTAAGCATTACCTGACAGAGAGTACATGCATCCTATAATGACTGGGCCTGGAAGAAGAAAAAAAGTTGCAGTGTCAAGATGTTGACTGGATAAACTGTCCAACAAAAGCTATTTAAATTCACCTAGCAAGAAATATAGCGGCTAGTTACCACCTGAAAATATGGGAATGGATTTGCACGGTAGGACCCATCTAGAAAGAGTAATTTTACATGAACTTGTAGGCATTTTCTGAACCTCTTCATGTGTAGAATGGAAAAGAGCAGTCGGAATTTGACTCTCACCAAAGCTTAGAAATATAACCTATATCATCTAGTAACCATTGAACAGAAAATTAGAAGGTCAGTGCTAGCATGTTACATTAGAAAAGCATATAGATAAAATATGGATGAAAGTGCAGAATTACCCAAAAATTGTTTAGTTGGAGCAAATTCACCCTTCATAAGAAAAAAAAATAAGAAATAAAAAGGCAGTAGCAAAATCACCCTTAAACTTTTTGAATTTAAGATTCCACCCAAAATTAACAGATGACAGCATCACACTTCATTTTTCTGTTAAGTAATTGCTTGCATGACGTGGTTTTGGGTTCCACAAGACATGTACAGACATCTCCCCATCAACACCAAGTAAGAACAAATGCCATGCAAGCAGGTAGTTAATAGAAAAGTGATGTGCAATGACATCATCCATTAATTTTGGGTTGAAATCTTGAATTAAAAAATTTGAGTGGTGGTTTTGTCACAGTTTTCTTTTTCTTTTTTTTTTTTTGGTGGACAATTTCAAGCAATTCTGCACCCTTAGCCAAAAATAATGATAAGTCAGCCACTCATGGTAACTAAAAATCAGCCAATCATAATAACCAAAAACAAAAACAAACTATGCCCTATGACAAACTAAAATGAAGAATGGCAATAGATGTTTATATCGAAATATATTTGCATATTACCTTCAGGCCTTCCTCCAACACTACTCTCCTCGACAATTCAATAGCTTCATCAGTTGTAACCTACAGCAGAAAGCTCATTTGACAAGGTTAAATGGTGAAACTGCATGTTAAGAACACTAAAAAATTAAGAAATAAACTCAATAAATAAAGAGAGAAATCAAGATCTTTGGCTCCAATGGGATTGGTGTGCCTCTAAAAATGAGAAATGAAATCTTTCTTCGTCAATGATTAATGGTTGTCAAGAAGATGGCAAGGACGAGGGACAGGGAAAACTACATTAATTGGTTACTCAACTTATGACGAAGTGAATGAAAAAAAAAGAAAAGAAAAGAAAGTGTAGTTGACTGTTTTAGACATAGACAAGACATGGGCAAGCATATCCAATGTTCTATGGCATGATGTAATCAGAGAGACAAAGATCCTCAAGTGGGAAAAGTGATCAAAAGTTCAAAAGTTAATCTCTTTTCT